CTTTTTCTGAAATAACATACCAATTTTTTTCCATATTTTGATTCTACGACTCAAATTGTGCCAGAATACCAAGTTTTGTAAAAATCGTACGAATAGTTTTTAAAATATTAGCTCTCAAAATTTTAGCTCCTCAATGTTAATTGAATTTGCCAAATATTGATTAATATCTCTTTTTTTTTTATTAAGCGTTTTTGATTTTTTCTCTCACATTTCGAAATTTAGGTTCATTCCAAATAAAATTTACCCATTTTTTTCTATTTTATTTTTTAAATTTCTACTTTTAGATAATTTTTATAAATTTTTCGAAAAAAATTTTGAATTATAACCTATAAAATTTTTACCATCATCTTAAAGTAGGTGTATTTTTAAGCACATAAGCAAGCTTTTTTATTCAAAATTTTCTAAGATATACACGAATTTACATATTTTTGCGTTTTGAAATTTGGCATCTTTTTTTTTTTTTTTTTTTTTTTTTTTTTAGCGATAATAGCGCCAAATGTGGTCTATGGATTTTTGTTACAGTGAATTCCCACAGCTTTTTTTAACCTAAAATTTTACGGAGAATTAATTATATGACATTTTCCCCTCAATGATGCGTAATAAATATTCATTAATACTATATGAAAGCTATTTTTCTAAATTATTCATGATATTATTCAAATTTACTATTTTTTTTTAAATTTCTCTCTCTCTTTTTTTTAAAAAAAAAATAAGAGTAAATTTTTACATTCAGTGTTTTATCATCTGCTACTTTACTTCGTTTAAATCGAATTGTCTAAAACTGAGAATTTTCATTTGATGTTTATTTGAATTTTATGAAAATATTTTATGACATTAACTGCATAGTTTATTTCTAAACAAGCTGTTGCTTATGAAGTGACTGAAAGAGCGGCTGATACTATCATCCATATTTTTAAAGCACAGTATATTTTTATAGAAACATAAGATTTAGAATAATCATTTTTATAAAAGTCAAATTATGATATAAACATACAACCCTCTAGAGACTGAATTAATGGAAGTTCAATGGTTATATAGAAATGATCTGCAGCTACTTAATGGCTGGATAAGTCAGCAGGTTCTGTGGACAAGTAAGAATAATTATATAAACGACACCCAACATTCTGGATTCAATTAACAACGAGGATACGATGTTTATTAAATGAATTTAAGAAGTTTTAAAACATAAAACATCAACTAATTTTTTATCCTAAAATGTATTTTTGTGCGTAGCGTATTTTCATTATATCCTTAAAATTCTAATTTAGAATGTAATTGTCAAGAACCGAATCCTAATCATCAGTAATATAATAAGTAATTATTACGGTTATTAATAAATCCTTCTTATAAAGGAATTGCAAATATTTCAAAAAACTTTCTCTCTGAATGCAAATATTTTTAATTTTCTATTAATCAAGATTGCACACAATATTATTTATTTGCACTTGAATTCTTACCGTCAGTTCTAGTAGATGTTACAAATCAATTATATTTAATTAAGGATTGGATTGGATTATTTAACTATGGCAAAGCACACGAGGGATATCTGCCTAAAGGGAGGGATGCCTTCGTGGAGAACTTTCTAAGGGAAACTGGCTCGTATACACATTACACATGGGGAAAACCACGAAAAGACCCATGCGGCCAGCCTGTTCGCTAGATTCGAACCTCGGACCGAACTACCAGTGTTTACCGTCTTTACCGCTCGGCCGTTTGTAGGCCTTTATGAAATGGAAGGCGATAACTTTATTTAAAATGATTGTCAGAAATATCAAGATATTTCGAAAAGTTGGATGCTTTTTAATATACTTGCAGAATGCCTAAAGAAAAAGAGAAGAAAAAATAAATTTCAGCGTAAAATTTAGTATTAGTAATTTTTTTAAATTTAAAACCTTTTAATCTTATGATATTTGATTCTTGCGATTTCAAAAATAAAATATTTGACTAAAATATGAATAACATTTTAAGAAACCAAATGTAGGATAAAATTGTGTAAAGCAATGGACACAATGATAAAACTGTTTAAAGCAGTGTATGCAAGTCATCCTAAGTTAAAATGTCGGTTATACATCTCTCTTATTTATATATATCTTTTCTGAACGGAAACACTGAAAGGCATGTTAACTATGTCTTTACTGTATTTTCTCTTTTAATGTATGCAGCTTTTCAGAACTGCATCGTAATCTGGGTTACATAAGGTATTCTTCCGAAAGAAACGCAATTCAAATAAATAAAATCAAATTCTGGAAAATTTATATTAATAAATATATTTTAAATGCTCATTTCAAGGAATAAATAGAAAATTTTAAAACAATTATCTGAAGAGACATTGCAACACAAACAATTAAAATAAAAGTATAAAAAATTTTAAAAATTACCTAAAATAATAACTATGACAAAATATATATATAAAAAAAACTATTTGAAAAAAAAAATAAATGCTGCACCTCTATTTACGCAGTTTGAGTAGGTAAATAGAAATTTTTAAAACAGTTATTCAAAAAAAAAAAAACAACATGCAACTTAAACAATTAAAATGAAATTCGAAAAAAGAAAAAATTACTTAAAATAATAAGTTATAATTAAAAATATAATATAAAGAATATTATTTGGAAAAAAGGAACGATGGTGACTTTTTTTCCTCTTACGGGAAAGAAACTAGGTTACCATATATTAAGAAGTTCGCCAAGTGAACTAACTATTCTTGGTGCAAACTGTAAAAAAAGTGCCAACATAAATTTGTGAATTTCTCCATAAATTTTGCTCCAAATTTGACAAAATTTCATATTTAGGCATAATTTGAGTTGTAGAATCAAAATATGTAAAAAAATTGGTATTTTATTTCAGAAAAAGTCTGATTTTCTGTCAAAATACCTATGTTAGAATAGTGCTATATATATATAAATCTAATATATATCCTAAGTCGCGCTTTCGAGACATGCAGAACGCAATTTGAATTTTGTCGATCGGCCCAGCAGAATGGGAGATATAGAACTGTCCCCCCTTTTTTTTTGAGCAGTGTACATAATTCATTTTATTTCCATTACTATCATTAATGCATTATAAATTAAAATCTCTTCAAATTATTTTCTACATCTCAGAAGATTATAGTAGTTTCTTATATACCTTTCGTTAAGAAATTGTAGTCTATAATAAAAGCTTTTATTCAGTAAGTATATAATGTAAGTATTTTACAGTGAAAATCGTTTAACACGAAACTGAGGTGACTGAGATACTTTTTCGTGTTATAGGATATTGTCTCCCCCCTCCCCGAAAAAAAATATTCAACAAAATTAAGTTTATTAGATTTTATTTGTTTTACATAGATATCTATATATTCATGTATTTAATAAAATCAATGAAACAAAAACATCCACAAGAACTTAATTTAATACAAAATTTTCAAGTTTTTTGAAAAACAAAACATTTATTAAGGTTTTGGAAAATAATCTGATATTTTTCTTTGCATTGTCTTTTTAGCAACAAATTGTTCGATGTCATCCATTTTGTTATTCATTTCACCGTTGGAATGTGCATCTAAATAACTGTGCATACTTTTCATGATGTTCCTCATTTTGGATGACGTGGGAACAGGAACTACATTAATCATTTCATTTTTGTCGTTGGAATTTGCATCAATGACATCTTTTTAGCTTTGGACAAACTCCAAAATGTCTTTGTCTGTAATAATTGGGGCTGTACACACATTATCATCATAATCTACTGCAACGAATTCTTCCAATGATACAGTATGACAATCCAATAATACAGAAACTTTCTCAGACATTGGCGCGAACCAAATCTACTTATTTTTACACACACTATGATGTATTCGTCACCAAATTCCAAAGCCAGCTGGTGAAAGAAGAGATGTTTTTGTGTGGTGTTTGTAGGGATGGAGGGTGAAATAGCTTAGATAAACAAAATTGGCTCGTATCACAGGCTATTCTGAGGGTATTTCAAAGCCAAGTTAGCTTCTTTTCTACGAAACATGTGAAACAACCTTTTTTTGCTAGTGAGGCTGGTGTTTTCTGTATTTTGTTCATTCCCAAAAGGGAAAATCTTATCATGTTAAGCGATTTTTCCTTTTGTGTTAAAAGAAAAAAATGCATGAAAATACATAGTAGTTTTTCGGGACCATTTAGTATTTTGTGTTAACCAATATTTCATCTTAAGAGTTTTTGCTTTAAACGTATTTCACTGTACATTAAATGTACTGTATGTTTGTTTCCTATATTTTAGTATTTAATTCCATGAAAGTTGCCTTAATTTTTTATTAGTCTTTGAAAATTTTAAAATTTTGTAAATGATATAGATAATGAAAAGTATTAGTTCTTGATCACATATTTTTTTTTCTGTGGTGTAATTTTAAGAATATTAAAAATTGAATATATATATCTATTAATCGCTTTTGTGGTGAAATTTAGGAATCAGTTTGTACAATTTTGAACTTGATAACAGATTTTAGTTATTTTGTCTCTGTAATGTGTCATCAAATTTAAGTCAAATCAGTAGTGTATATTTGTATATGAAATCAAAGGTTTAAAAAAAAAAAAAAGCTGATCCCCCCCCCTAAAAAAGTGCATGAACATACACACATGTATAATGCATAGCTTCATGTCTGCTATGTATTATACATGTGTGCATAACAGACATGAGGTTGTTATAGTTGTGAAGAGGCTGTTGTTAAAATTTTGAAAAAGCAATAAATGTGCATGTATGATTTATACTTAGAAGAAAAAGGTTTTAATCTATAACAACGGGTGATATTAATATCTTTAACCTGAGAACAATTAATATTTATGTTTAGATCTGTAATTGACTTGTGTAATTTTTCTTGTACTAAAAATATTTTAACTGATCATGGATAGGAAATTATTTTTTTGTTATGTTTGTTTCAGATATATGTAGATATATCTGAAATATTGCTATCTATATATAAATTATATTTTTCTTTTTATGTAATAAACTACACCTTTCTTCCCTATCTCCCTTGACAGAGTAAACATAATCCTGAACAGTTTGAACTGCTTGAAAAAACTAAATTTAAGAAGAATTTACTAGAACCTATTGTTGAAGAAGAGATATCTAAACTCGAAAGAAAGCTTGGAAGGGGGAAAATTGCTGTAAAACTGGCAAAACCCAAACCAGGTAGTTTAATATTTAAAAATATCTGTGTTAAATTTTGCTTGTTTGATTTCCTAAAATGATAATATCAATTATTAAGCAGTATTGTTTCTTCTTATTGTTAAAGCAATCTGTTTTTGATCATAATAGCATCTTAAAATTTTATTTATTATTGGGGAAGTGAATAATCTAGATTTATTTGATAATGTAATGAGAATGATATTTATCTAGAATTTTGTTTCTCACATTTTCTGAATAAACAGAAATCTTAATTCACATTATATGATTCTTCATAATGAAGAAAAACTTTATATTCCAAAAGCAGAAACATTCAATAATTATATTTTATGGTGAATCATCAGAAGAATAACATACGTAACTGGAGGATGAAAAATTAATGTGCATTGTAAACTCATTGGCATTTTTAAAAAGTTACATATAATATCCTGAAAAGGTAATCAGTTATGCACATGCCATTTGACTATGTTAATTTGACTGTTATTAACAATGGAAACCAATGACTTTCGCACTGCAAGCCATTGTTGGTGCCACAGTATGTAAATAGTAGATTTTTGACGCATACACAAAAGATTTTTATCATGAATAAAGGCAGTGATGTGATCAAGCTGCTTGCACACAAATTGTCGGCATTTGTAAAGCCAGATGTTTGATATCACCAGTTGCTGAACTTTTAAAATGTTACACAGAGCTTGCATTTCAACAGTACTTCAAAATCAATGTGAATTACGGATTTGGAGCTGGAGTCACTAAAAACAATCAGACTCCAGTTTTTGCATATAGTAATATAGTAATATTTTGAATCAGCATTGTGAATTAAAATTGATTAACAGTGATTACGTTCGTTTTCTTCTTTTGTCCTTATGGAGTATATAATGGCGACTATGGATTTAAACCGCATCTGCATCAAAAAGTTGAATGACCGAAATTGCTATACTTGGAAATTTAAACTGTAATTCTTGCTGATTAAAGAGGATTTATGGGATATTATTATTACAGAACCTCCATCTACAGTAACTGCAAAGTGGGTTTCGAAAGACGGAAAAGCTTGAGCAACTATAGGACTTTTATTAGAAGATAACCAATTAGGACATATTAGAAAGTGTATGACTGCGAAAGAAGCATGGAATATTCTCAAACAGTACCATGAAAAGTCAACACTGTCCCGAAAGGTTGGGCTTTTGAAAAAGCTGTCTAATTTGCAGTACAGCAATAAAGAGCAAGGGAACGATCATCTAATGAAAATGGAAGCTATTGTGGAGCAACTAGTACAGGGTTCTTACGAGCCTTAAGAGTCCTTAAAAGTCCTAAGATTTCTTGGAATCGATTTTTGGTCCTTTAAAGTCCTTAATTTTGGCCAAAATCAGCAGAAGGTATTTAATTTTAATCATCTGAAATTTCTGTCTGTTTTTACGACCACGATTTTGAGTGTGAATTAGCATTTTGGAGGAATATTTTTTGCAATTCAATGACGTATATTTGTTTATCTTTTGGAATAGGTTCATGAGTTATAATTTGTATCTATTTCAAATATAAATGATGGGATACTGGAGTTTCTAAACAAGAAGTGAAACATAAGCATTTCGAAATTCATTTTATCTAATAAAGAGCTTGTTAACAACTTTTTGCTTTTGGGGATTTGAATTCTTCTATTAAACGGTTCTAAATTTGGCAACTTTTCAACATTTTGGCGATTTTATGATCAGTTTCTATAGAAACTGTTTAATTCTGAGATGAGAATTTTTCGACAATTTTTCTTAAAACATAGTAGCATTGATTAATTTCATTAAGATAACAACATTAAAATAAAATGTTTTTATTTTTCGCTGTCATATTATAAACTTTCAATTTGGAAACTTATTATACAATATTTTGAATCTGAAAAATAAACACGGTATAATGCTATAAAACACAATTTTCAAAACAGCTGTTAGCAAAAGCAAAATTAGCTATGTAATTAATTAAAAATGTTTCTTTTTAATGTTTTCATAGTAAGAGTTTTTCCCATGTAATTGTCTCAGAATATTCAAAATTATCGGAATATGCATGTTTTCTCTGTAAAATTACTTTTACACCATTTTCCTCCTTTTTTTCCCAAAAATATTTCTCTCTTTTTGCTGTTATAAAAATGGTAGTGATAATTGTTCTTTAGGATTTTAGACATTGCAGCTTGGAAAGTTTAGAAGGATTTGAAGACAAGATTTATAGACTCACGATTAGATTCGAGAAATATGTGACAAAATGAAAAATGTCTCCATGGTATCAACACATAATGAATGTATTTTACAGAAAGTTGGCAATGAATTTCTTACTTTTTGGAGAACGTCTGGAAGAACAATGAAAACATAATATTTGAATGTTTTACTTCTAATACTAGAATCTTAACGTCTTTATCTTCTCTTTATTTTCTCTACTTTTCACTAGACAGAAGCATGGAAAATATCAAAAATGCTTCTGATCTTATCACATGAGCAGGCATTATAAAAAGGGATTTCTTTATTAATAAAGAAATTGAAAACGTACAATTTAAAAGATTTATCTAATATGTTTTAATGCATCATACACATAATTGGCAATAGGCATTTTTCCACCTGATGCAATGTCTGTGGGTCCCAAATTCTGCTGCCTAGTGCCTTTCTAAATTCTTCTTCCAATGCCTGCTCTAAATTCTAAAAGTTTTGCCATTTCTAGATGGGAAACTAAATTCTAAAAATTCTGCCGCATCTGCCTTTAACATATATATTTCATATTTCTTCTGAATGTTCATATTACTAAAGATATAAAATTAGCCACTTTTTCTGTACATTCTAAATGTATTTAGTTTTTTTTTTTTTTTTTTTTTTTTTTTTTTTTTTTTTTTGGGGAGTAACAGAAATCCTTAATTAAATCCAAAAATTCTAAAATGAAGAAGAAACATGTTTAAGAAAGAAATTGAGTACATAAAGAAAATTATTCTTCAAAGATATGTGCAGTTATTATTATGTAAATTACCCAATTGTTTATGATTTCAGCCTTTGTTATAATTTCCCATTTCTATTTCCTGATATGATAGAGTTACTGTGCAGGATTAAATTTAAATTAAAATTGTATAATTTTTGACCACTTGTCCATATTGTTAGTTTGAATTTGACTGTTCTTGTTTAATTACGTCACTGTGAGCTGTAATTGAATTTGTTAGCATCAGAACATGCCTTTATGTTCCGAGTTCTTTTTAAATAAGAAGCTTTTTTAAACCTTTGTCTCATATTGTAGTTACTTTCAGACATAGTGATAATATGCTTCATGTCTGTCGAAGGTGTTGGACTAACCAGATCAGGTAAACCCTCATAGGTACATTGTGGAGAGGTTGACAAGTTAGAATATAAAGTACGCAGAAACTAGCGAGAACATTGGTTTGCATATTGAGACAATTCTCTAATTGTTAGAAAAGATGCTTAAAGAGAGGGAAATTTATATAAACTAGCCAAAATGCTTGGGAAGACTTCAAATTAAAATGACTGATAAATATTTTGTTGAGTGTTGTTGTTACAAAACATAAATGTTTTGTAGCTTTTAATGTGTAATTTTTCTAATATCGTTTAAAAATCAATGTCATAAATAACATGTATTTTAAACTGTGAAAATTTATTAGATTTTGATTTTAATAGGGCTTTTGTAACAAATATTATTAAAAATAAAATTTAATAGATGTCATGTAAATCCATAATGACTAAGGTTATCAAACTACCTAATTTAATTATAACTAACTCCTTACCCTGAAAAATTATCTCTACATATTAAAGTGAGTTATTGCCTTTCATTTATACTCACTTGGTCACAAGATAAAATACAAAAATGTAAAAATTCAAGTAAAACTTATTCTTTGCATCTACTGAGACTTATAATAATAAAAAACAACTTATCACCTCTGGTGCTTTAATGGCTAATTGGAACCTTAAAGTATATTAACTTGGTTACAACCCTTGGAACTCTACACGAAGCTATGAACAGATCCTGACTAACTTTCAACACTTGCCAACGGTACCTACATCAAGCCTTTCAGGCTTGTTCTAATCAGCAGGTCTGTATCTAGAAAAGCAGCGGTGACAACATTCAGTCTTTTGTTATGAATTATGCTGTTTATGATCTTATTTCTCATTTTAACGTATGTCATTTGACGCAAAATCTACCAGCTGTTTACTAAACCTCTAGATTGACCAAGTATGTGACAAAATGAGACATAAAAAAAATCAACATAAAGCTAACTGTTATTAAAATGTAAATGTCACTTATCTTCTTTCAAATATGGCCAATTATTGTAAGTGTGAAATATTTAATGCAACTTGATAAATTGCATAAGTTTATTTTATTCTCAAACTTATTAATAATTATTTTCATTAAGTCATGTTTAGTAATAATTCGCACTACTTAGGGATCTATTTTACTTTTAGGATGGTATTACAAAAATGAAATTCAGGCATAGATAATATTTTTAATTGAATTTATTCAGTTCCCATTTGCTCATAGGTCCTTAATTTTTTTCATTAATTGTCCTTAAAAAGTACTTAATTTCCGTGTGCAGAAATGTGTACGAACCCTGTAGTAGTGCTAGGTGAGCAAATTACAGAACCTTTATTTGTTGCATTTATTTTAAGTAGCATAGTTAAAAATTATGCTACGTTAATAACAGCTTTAGAAAGACGACCATAAGCAGATTTAACTGTTGAATTGGTTAAAAACAAATTGTTGGAAGAGTATACTCGTCAAGGCGAAAATAAAGAACCTTGTACAGGAAGCGAGAATAAAGCTTTGAAGTCATATTCTTCTTTAATGCATAAGATTCCAGCTGATAAGAATAAAGTACCTAATTGCTTCTTTTGTAAGAAATTTGGGCATTTAAAGACTGACTGCAGGAAATATGCAAAATGGAAGCTTAAGCATAATCAAAAGCAACAAGTCAACGCAACTATGAATTCAAGTGACATTAATGAAGCAAAACAATTTTCTAATCAGCATTGCTTTACAAG